TCTACCGCTTGGATGACGCGGCGGATAGCGGCCGGTTTGACATGACGCTCCGGATGACAACGAGGATCATGTGAGAGGCGTCACAAGCACAGAGACACGACAGACTCATCTCTGTGACGAGTGCCCCTTCTACCCAGATTCAGCTGGGGGCTTCTGTGTGCAGAGATTCCTCCTCACGACGATAGACCACTTCTCACTCTGCAGATTAGACCAAGAAAAGAGCCTTCGACTTTTCACACGTGTTCTTTTGCAGGATGGACCGTTGATGCACTTTGACGGAACTTCATCGCTTTTGGAGGTTGAGAACTTAAAGGGGGGTTCATGCAGTAGAAAGAGTTATAGAACAAATCAGTGAGATCAAAGTCAAATTCAATGTAAATCATATTTAAATTAAAAAAAACACATTCAATGCATACAGTTCACATGCATTAAAACATTTTCAAGCACTTAAATGTTGAGGAATAAAATAAATTCCGCACATTAGCCGTCAGCTTGAATTTGCATAAACTCTTTCCGAGGCCCAGACAATCTGCATAAACCTGTTGGATGTGTTTGGAATCCTCACACGTTGTCTGGCCCGAATACAATTAGACGAAGACTGATCAGTGGACAGACGAGAGACAAAGTCCACTTTGTGCCGCTCGCTGATGACATCAATAAGATTCTCCTCGGCAGGGGCATCATTACATCTGTTTGCGCAGTCATTTTACCCATTTATATGGATTTCATAATGTAATATTCCCAGCAAAGTAAACATTTTGATACGTGGGGAGAAAAAAACAAATGCATGCATATGAGAGAAAAGAAAATATGAAGTTTTCTCACAAAACCAAATTGGCAATCACCGTCCTTCTACCCCATGGTCATAATGAAATTGCGTTAGCAGTGGTTGAAATAAATGACATAATTCTCTGTACACACAATTAAAGGAGAAAGCCACAATCGCACGTTGAGCTCGGAGTTAGTTTATGATAGCACAAAAACCAGACCTATAAATAATGAATACCGCCATGATTATTCTGTCCCAGATTTGCATAATTATTGTTTTTTTTCCTTCTTCTTGGAAGCATCTGTTAACATTTCAATCGTTTCTTTGTTTCGCAGACGGCCGCCGTACCTTCCTGCGAAAGCACACACATGAATTGGAATAAATAGTCGTTATAAGGAAACGCTCTTCATTTATAATTAATACGCTGGTCACAGTGACACGACGCTTTATTTCTCTAAACGAGTATTCCTGTTGCGCCGGTGAAGCTCAGCAGCAGCGGATATCAGACTTTTATATTGTTTTGCCAAAATAATTCATTTATCACTTTTATATGAAAAATAAAGGAGGCTTTAAGGGGAAGGGGGGGGGGGGTGCTGATACAGCAACCTGATACATCGCAGATCAGACACAGAAATATTGCATTATTAAGCCTTTTCACAACGGAACAAACAAAGTCTAAAAGAACATTGAGTGCATTTACTTTGATGGAGACTTGGCTGCACCTGTTGGTTGCAGGGGACGGAGGAGCGCGGGAGAAGCCCCCCCCCCCCCCGAGTCATCACCACAAACTCTTAAATTCCAATGCAAATTTTGGAAAAACGTTTTTACTTTGACTTAAGCAATGTAGGACTTTTACCAGTACGGGAGTATTTTCACAGAGAAGTACTGTTACGTTTACTACAGTAAAACTGGGCCACATTATATTGAAGGTTGCTACAATTTATTTGGTTTTTGTTTTGTCATTGAACTGGACGTTATAGACTTAAAAGGGGACTTTATGGGGGAACAGTCGCATTGGATTGCACTAGATTGTACAGGTGTACTTTATAAAGCAACAATAGAGCGAACCGTGTATGTTCCAGCGCAGAAAGCAGCAGGCAGATATGAACTTTAGTTAAAAAGTGCATCTTTGCCATGAAAAAAAAGCTCTAAATCTTGTTTGTACTTTTCACCGTTTTAAATGTGTTGTCCTTGATTGATATGTTCATATTTCCCCCGTGCACACGATGGCAGCTCATTTGAAAACGCGCGCAGTTTACATCGTGCGCTCGGAAATGCACATTGACGGTTGCAGCCTGATTACGTAAGAGGCTGGAGAATACCTGTCTCCCGCCCGCATCCCCGCACGCCACATCTATTTTCATTACTGGCAGATGACAGTTGCCCGCCCAAGATGCGGACTTGATTAAGAAACCTGTTTTGCACACAGCTGCAGGGGGGAATAAATAAAAAAAAATGCCAAGATCAGCCCCGTCGCGTCAATGACGACGGGCAAATATCGGAGGGCAGATTGAGCAGCAGCTGACGGCCTCGTGGAGCAGAAAGAATCTATTCAAATGTCAAATGTTTACCTTTCATTTCCTGCAATTTTGTTGTGAGATGATGTTCCCTGGACAACCTGTAGGAGGGATGAACCCTTCACAGGTCCATGTTGAATGTTAATTTACCGCCTCGTCTGCACGGCAGCCTTGTGGAGGGATTTTAACTATCAACCTGTAAAAGAGATTTCTGCCATAGCGCGAGTTCTCTTCCGGGGAGGCGTCCTTTGACCTTGGTGTTTTAAACTACCTGTAATATAACCTGTCATGACTAAGAGGTGAAGATATAATCTGGGTGTCCTTCTGCAGCCACGCGGGTGATAACTTCTCCAGCTTCTCCACGGGAGCCCGTACTTTAATCTTCCATTTCCATGATCGCTTTCATATTGTAAAAAGACTGTAAAAATCATCTCATGTTGGGGGAGCCGATTTTTTTATGGAGATGTTTCCTTCAGAGTGAAATATCACCAACTTGCAAGACAGCACTTTCCGTCAGATGCTACAATATTATAGCTCAGTATGTGTGCAGCTCGCCATTAAAGTGAAATATCCCGCCAGCTATTCGTGTGTCAAACTTGTAAAGGCGTGTTTTTCTTCTCTCATTTTCAAGGTTATTTCAACAATGGCTTTTGTTGATGATTTCACCGGTGGGCGTCGGCTCTGAGGCCTTCGCCGGCGTGCGCAGTCGAACGCCGAACAATAGCCTGCCGCAGCAGTTCACCGGAGGGACATTAATCCTGTGGCGGGCAAAGACCTGCAAGCGTTGAATCAGCTCAGTTGGCTAATGCGCGGCGCCGTTAGCGAACTCGCGGAAAAAAGAAAAACCCGCTTTTCGCCGTCGACGGCGCTTCTCTTCAAACGCTCTCCGCCTTCACCTCGCGAGGCCGCGGCTGTCAGCTCGAGCGCCTTCAGGCGCGCTCAGTCGGCACGTTTAAAAGACGTACACGAGGAGTCATGTCTGATGCCTCCTCTGCCTCGGAGGAAGAGTGGGGGAGGACAATACTGTACGGCGCAGGAACAGTTGTCAGTTGTCAGCCGGGTTCACGGTCGGGTCTGAAAATACATTTCCTTCTTGTGAGCTGCGAGGAAGTTTGTTGATTCGGGACTCTAAAGGGCACTAAAACTAAATCTGACTGAGTGCTTTTTTTTTATAACTTCATCATCAATGTATTGTGTCAGTTCTATTATTTCGCTGAGACTATAATTCAATGTCAATCAACTCCCCCGCTGTTAGCCGCGGCTCAGAAGCTAGCAGGCATGGTGTTGCGTTAGCATTATAGCTAACTGATGTGTACATCGTATGATACTGATCGACCCATCAATTAGCATTTACTGACAATTTGAGTAATCTGTGCATCTGAACATGATTTTCACTGGGAAAACAATATACTTGGTGGAAAAAAAGAGGAAAAAACGTTTAATTGTAGGCCTATAGTTTTTATTGAGATAAGGTCGCCATCCTCTGACATCACTGGAGGAAAGGTTCAAACTCAGTGACTGTTGAAATACAATGTTTTAGATCAGTACAGAGTGAGATACATAACAATTTAGGTAAAGTGGCATTTTAAAAGACTCAGAGTTACACTTTAATCCGATTGCAAAAGACAAAAAGTCGCAGCGTTTGAGGCCGAGAGCCACTGCACACGTCGCCGGTGCTTCAAACTCAACCATTTGTATAAAAATGAAACTCCAAAGTAAACAACAAAAGAATGTCTGTTATGACGAATGACTAATGAGATTATTTACCACCTCAGAAGTTGCATTTTCGCTGCTTTCTCTCTTTTCATCCCCCCCTCTTTCAAGTCGAATCGGTCACGCGCTCTGACGATACGATGACTGCTGGATGCCGCCTTGGGAAAACTAACCGGGGGGGGTTTCTCCGTCCACACAGGGACCATGGTGGTGCAAGTGGCGGCCACTGATGCAGATGACCCGACGTACGGGAACAGCGCCAGGGTGGTTTACAGCATCATCCACGGACAGCCGTACTTCTCGGTGGAGCCCAAGACGGGTAGGTGCCACGCGGGAGACAAAAGACGGGGACGTTGTCTCAATCAGCTGTTTACTGTGAGGGTTGATGGAAGCATCCGCCAAGGTTTTAGCATTTTTGGTCTTACTAGAAATTTTTCAGGTTTTTGAATTAAAATCAGATGATCGCCGCGTGATGTAGAGAACAGTTGTTGGATTTAGCTCATTGTTTGAGTGGTAAACTCATATATAGGTATGAATACTGTATATACTGAAATAGTATGTTATTTTTTTTAAAGCATTTATTTAGTTATCTTATTAATAAAATGTATATTCAATACAAAAGAAAAAAAGTGAAATATTGATATTGATTACAAAAAATGGCACGTTTCAGAAAAATGTGTGTTGTTTTATTGAATAATAATAATTGACAGGTAGATTAATCCATAATAATGTGTATTACACAGTACTTCCAAATTTTATTTTTTATATAATAATCTGAATCTCTATAGTCACTAGTATGTACTATATAAAAATGAGCGCATGATGAAAGAACTGCATCTTTTCCCCAGTCCCCGAGCTCGATGTTTCAAAGAACGCAGCTGGCCGGTAAACAGTGAAAAGCCAAAGCCTGCGAAAAAGGCCTGAAACAAAGTGCGAGATGAGACGTGCGGCGGTTGGTTGACTTGTGGGGCGTTTCATCCTGAGGAGTGCGGCGGCGGCGGCGGCGGTCGGCCCTCGCCTCGTCCTCATTAGCCGCCTCCCTGCCGAGCCTGGGCTACTTCATGCAAAGCCAACAGAGGAATGTGGGCCGTCCCGTAGGCGCCGTCCTGCAACACATCGACGCGCCGGGTGCGTGTGGTTTTACTTCATGAATGTAGTTCATGAACTGGTGGGAGCCACTGCAATGCAGGGATCCACGTCGTTATTCCCGATGGAGAAATAAAAACTCGACGGCGACCCGTGAGGCTCACTGTAAACGTTCAATAGGCGTAACCAGCGGAGGAGAGTGAAGTGATGATAAATGACTTCCAACCGCGTCGCCATTAATGGACGTGGTGGCGTCTGAGGAGGAGGAGGAGATGTCGTGGTTCTCCGTGTTGTTTTTTTCCCCTTTCTGGAGACGCTCGGCTAATGAAGCCTCCCGCTGAAGCTTTTCATTAGGAAACATTTCTGTGTTTGCCTGAACATTTCACATGTTTCACACGCTCTAAGTGAAAAGGTTCCTCATGGATACTCTTCAGGCTCCAGCGGTTCCACCCGGACTCCCCCGCCGGTGGGAATCTTTGACTCCGAGTGATTCTTCCCGGCGGCTCGGCGCTGGAACTTCTGTGGGCTAATTAATGTGATGTGCTGTGAACACCTTCATTGAGATGAGTCCGGTTTGGAACTCGTGACTTATTTGTGCTTTAATGTTTTTCTGAGTTGCTTTCTGGGAATAATTCGCCTGGTGATCAAGGACCCGACAGGATTCACGACAGGAAATAGTTGGTTATTAGACGCATTAAAACCCAACGGAATCATCCACGTGTCCTTGAGCAAGGCACTGAACCCCAACTTTGTCCCGGTGTGTGGGGAATTTTTCTGTTTGTTTTTCTTTTTAGGTTTAAGGCTGCCAAAGCTGCTTTAAGCGTAAAACTTGAGGCTCACAAATAAATCCCAGCTTGGTACTCATTCTGCAGGACCCCGGCTGCTTTATTGACCTGTCAAACCAGAGGCACACACACACACACACACACACACACACACACACACACACACACACACGCATACATGTGCACCCAGACGCAGCCCTCGGCCCCCGGCCAGTGCCTCGCTCCGGGTGGGAAGCATGTGGTCGGACAAGGAGCGACCTGAACACCAGCTGAGGGTCAAAGGGCGGCCTACGGAACCGAGCTTGTGCGGCGGCCTTGTTTCCGTCTCTGTTGGTTTGTGGAAATTATATGGATGGATTTCTTTTTTAGATTTTCTCTCCCGCTCCGTAAAAAAGCTTTAGAGGATATTATAGAAGGATGACGCTTCCTCCTCATCCTGATTTAGTTACCTTTCAGAAAGAACTTCCTTGGGGAAATATTTATGCTATTAAAAAAATGCTCTGCTGTTTTCCTGTCTGGAGGTTCTGTTTTGTCATCACTTCTAACTCTGCAGCCCATTTTTTAAAGCCCTCTAACTTTTTTCTATTTATTCGTCTATTTAGGGTTATTTAGTTTGACCTTTCCTTAAACAAGTAGCAGCTCACTTACTGCTAAGTCTTGTTTCAAAATGAAATGAGAAAGATCTCCATGAAGAAGCAAGAATTGGTCCCATTCATCCAGTTGTGAAACTTGACCACTTCCGTCTGCACTCCAACGGTCTTTAACAAAGTTAAAAACACTTGAACCCGTCGGCGAGCCTCGAGTTAGAACTCATGACACCAATACCAATCAGAGCGAGTGCAGACATGTTTTTAAGTGATGCTCAAACAGTCTGCCCCATAAACTCTCCATTATACTCTCATATCATGTTTTTTTTCTGGAGCTCATATACTTTCGCAGCTTCAGTTGCTGAAGTGTTTTTCATTAAGCTAAGTGGGTTCTTTAAACCTCAAGGTTGATATTTCAAACGATTTGATGGGTTATGATTGCTTTGGGTAAGTGGCCCGTATTGTCCCGCAAGTCGAACTGTGCTTGTGTTACAGCCGGGCTCCGACGCGGGAATCACGGAGGCGAGCGTGCGCAGATAGAAACCAAATCCTTGAGGCATAAAACATTGTAATTTGATAATATGTTTTGGAAATGACTGCACCTGTCTGTTTTGTGCTTTGGATTTTTTTACACGGCCGGACGTCTCTGTCATACTATAAACATGAACATGTTATAACGTCAGGCTACGAGTAGAGAGGTCGCTTTGTAAAGTCACAATATATGAATTCGCCTGCGTGACTGATGACGCCTGAACAAAGCTATTGAATATCTTCAAAAAAAAAAATCAAAATTCCCGCTTTAAATGTCCTTAAAGTCCCTCCTCCTGCACCGGCTGGTGATGGGGCCACACTGCTTGTGTTAACTGCTAGTTTCCAGCATATCGTCAATAGCCTGCATGTCACACAGGAGGCGCTGCGGGGGCGAGGCAGACAGCCCAGCAGGATCGAGTGTTGTGGGACGAGCGTTCTTCTGCCTTTGCAACTTGCTAATTAGTCCCATTTGCAGCACACGCCCGGCCCGTAGCAGAGGGTGACTTTGACAAAGTGCCGGGGCTGGATACACTCCGCACTGCAATACTGCACTAGCGATTAAGTGGTACGGGGCTAATGGTCAGAGGGGGGCGGGGGGGAGGGCGCGTAGGTGGGGGAGCATCCTGCCTTACTCTCGTCCAACAAGTCTCCTTCCTCCGCTTCTTAATCCCAAATTGAATCTGCAAGGTGCCCTTGGGAAAAGTACTTAATCCTGAGCAGCTCCAATAACTTCCAAGCACCATATAATGTCGGCAAAATACAAAAGTTGCCGCGCCTGAAGGTGCTCGGTCAAGACGAGCGTTTTTGTAATATATATTGATTGATTCCTCCGTAGTTTAGTTTGAAGGTGAGGCCCAAGCGGTAAAGCGCTGTTTTCTAATTGATGGCGGCCTCGGGGAGGTTTGAACAGCTGCCTCCGGCCACGTGCACCTTGGCGAACGGGCCGAGTCCTTTCTGGAGACGATTATCCGCGCGCTCACAGGCCTCGCTGGCTTGCAATGACAAGAGAGGACTTCTGTTATAAAACGCCAGGTGGATTAATTCCACTCTGAAGGGGGTGTTTGAGATGCGACGCGCCGTGTCTCTCGCAGCGACGCCAGTATGACGTCCGCATGTGACAGGCACTTCGGGGTGGGAGGGAACCTGATCTAATTAAACGGAAAAAGGGCCGAGGTCCAACCCTCGTGAGGATGTGGCGATCTCGCGGTGGAGCCGCTGCACCGAATCGAGCGAACATCACAGCTGAAGGCTGGACATAAATCTAGCTGTCTCTCGCAGGATACAGACGGAGGCGCAATTTTTCTATTCCAATCACAAACAGCAACACGCCACCTGGATGTTCGCACGCGGGGCCACACTCCCTTTCCGCGAACGGACCCGGTGTTCTGTATACGCGGGGGCCACCCTGCGTTGGCGGCCCTTTCACAACGGAGCAGGAGCGGTGACCCGTGATCGGAGCGTGACGCCCCGTGTGTCGCCCGGTAATAAACTACCTGGGCAGCAGCTTTTTTATCCCCGGTTTGTGCGCCCTGTTTCTTTGTGTTACGGGATCTATTCTTTGCGAGTGGGCCGCCTGAGGTCTCTGCAAATCACACTCTGCAGCCATTCGTGTTTAAGTGTTCGTCACCTCCCATCAGTACCTCTCATCGCTGCGCGCGGAGCCAGAGGGGTCCCCCTTCCAGAGTCTGCGCTTTTATTTCCTCTTCCCGAGACGAATGTCAAGCATCCGGTGGGGGCCCGGCGCCGTGCCGCCAGCGGTGCGCAGACAGCCAGACAAATGCGGCGCGTCTGGCTCGCACCGGAGGCGGAGGAGTCACCGGGCGCAATGCGAGGCCTTCGCCCGAGATAACGACGGGAGGGTTTTTAATCATCGCCTCTCCCCAGGAATGACACCAGCGCCGCGCGGGGGTAACGGGGGGGGCCGGGGGGGGAGAGGGGGAGAGGGGGGAGGGCTGGCACCCAGCAGACAAACAGCCAGTCTCGCAACATCGGCGTGTGGATTAGCGGCGTCGCTCGGCGAGAAGCATGTGTGCTTCTGGCCCAGGCGATGGGAGGAAGGGGGGAGGAAGGGGGGGGGAGGGGGGGGTTTGTGGCTTGCTAGATTCAGGATTCATGGCATCATTAACCACGGCCAATATCTCGCAGGCTCCAACACACAGAGCCGGTATTAAATAAGTATATCAATTGTTTCCGTGGTTTTGTGTCGAGCGGCTCAACCGCTCTTTCATTTCACCTTTTTTTTTTTCCGAGCCGACCGCTGCAGCTGTTATTACAACCCGACCATTATCCTGCCCGTCTTTGCCTCTCTTGCATGTTTTAAAGGTTTCCTCTTGCTGGGCCAGACGTGCGCGCTGTGCCCCTGCGGCTGCGTTGCGCGGGGAACCAAAAAAAAAAAAAGAAGAGAGCGGGTTTGTGTTTCCGGCCTTACGGGATTCTTAGATGATGATACTCGAGCAAACAGGGTCGGCGGTGGCGCTTCTCTAATTGGCTACGGGGGGTCGCACCCGCGGGGAGGAGCATCAGAGAAGCGGTCAAAGGACGGACGGAGGAGGCTAAAAGGGGGGACAAATGGAGCGGGTGGGTGAACGTCCACGGCACCGAGACACATTCTCTATAAACTCTCCGAGGAAGAAACAGATGACAAAAGTTTTGACTGTGTCCAACGGAGACAAAGGCCGCCTTGTTTCCCCCCACTGCTGCGTAACAACGTCCCACTGTTCATTATTTGATGCAGGACTGAAATGGCAACATGTTTTGCAGAGCAACGGCAAAAGATTATTGCTTCATTGACCACCGTCGTCCCGATAAGCCCCCAGGCAGGGACTTTGGAGGGAAAGAAAGTGGACAAGCCACTATAATTTAGCTAACTGAGCCATTTAGTTACAGCAGCCAATAACAATTTTCAGCTGGAGGGGCTGTAATGACATTAATAAAGGATGGCAGGGAGAGAAAATTAAACACTTAATGGAATTGTTTACTTTTCAAGTACACCCGCGGTTGACGGTCAAAAGGCGTCTTCATTTTTCTCTTCAAGTCTTTTGACTCATTTATTAGATTTTTTTTTTTTTTTTGGGGGCCTCTGTTCCTGGATTGAGCTTAATTGCAAACAGCATGTGAGAATGTGTGTGTGTGTGTGTGTGTGTGTGTGTACTTTTCCTATGAGAACCTGGAATGAGACATTTAACCAGAATAAGTGTGTATGTTCTGCATGCGGCCGGAGGAGAATCACCAGCAGTTCTCTTCACTGTGAAAACACAGCGCACAAACATCTCGGGGCCGGACCTCAATCCCACGAGGTTTTATCAGAAACATCTCGGTGAATCATCTGAAAAAAACGTGTTTTAATACGTCCTCCAGAGAATTGGACCTCAATTATTTGTGGAATTTGAAGGATTATGATAAAATGTTCAGGAACTAACTCCGAGCGAGAGCTTTGATCTGCTTCGCCGGGCTGCGATTCGTTTATCCAGGAACTGTGTGTTTGGCTTTGTGTGTCTGCTAATGAGTGATCTCTTCCGTGAGCATCTTTAATAAGTGTCGTTTACCGAATGAAACGCAACGTGCTTCACGTCATTTACTTTAAAAGCAGAAGGGGATTGTTTTTCCTGGGATTTAAATGCACGGCGGTTTTTGCCCTCCGTAGATAAAGTTGAGTTTGAGGAAGCGCCGTTAATGGAAAGACTTCTCGAGAAGCTCTCTCTAGTATTTTGTGCATTGGTGCCACGGCTGAACAGGAGCTGTTTGATCCGGCGGCTCCGGTACAAACAGATAAATGCCACCCGTTTGATGCCGCCGTTGTCACTTCTCTGATGACAGATCAATGGTGACAGGAGGAGAGACGGATAATAACTCCCCCGGCGGCAGAAACGTCCCCTTGCATGTGCTCACTTTTCTGACAGCTTCTTAACATTAACCTCATCACACGTCGCTCTCCTAAGCCGCTCGGAGTGACGCCGCGTTTTCGGGGCACGGAGGAGTCCCAGCTCATTGCCGCGGTGCAAACAAGCTGGACATCCACCCGTTGACCTCCATTCAAACTTCTAAATACTGCTCGGTTGATGCGAGCATCCGTTCTGCTCGAGTGGGTCGTCCACTCGATGTGGCTCCGTATGCTTTTGTATTAAAGATCGATACTTTTGGTGATTGGAGGCATTTAAAGCTGCGCTGCGAAATTCATTTGTGACCACAAAGTAGAAGAAAAATGTAGACGAATATAATTGGAACTAAACTATTATTCACTTTTGTTATGATTCTGTTTTGTGGAAAGACTGTAGAGCTCAATTCATTTGAAAAATAAAATCCTTAAAAAAGAACAAAATATTTTTCAATACTGACATTTTCCTTCATGAATGACTGAACGATTTCAAAATAATTGCTGGTAATTTAAAACCTCTTGGGGAACGTATGTGTATCGCTCCTTTGTTACAGAAACAGGAGAAAATTGTCACTCTTTTTCTCATTTTGTGCTTTAAAATGCTTTTCTATTTGACACTTTGCAATTTCTAATTGACGGAACTGATTCCTGAGATGACGCATGCTGCTGTAGTCACACGGACTCATGAATAAGACAGTTTACACATGTATGAGAACATTATTGTTGTGTTCCCACTATCGAATATATGTGTTAAATAACAAGTCAGTTCAAGCGGACCCCCTTGGAAGGCGTGCGGGACGCCTCACGTCAATCAGAAGGTCCGACTCTCTGCTTCTCCCTTCAGGCGTCATCAGAACAGCGCTGCCCAACATGGACCGGGAGACCAGGGACCAGTACGTGCTCGTCATCCAGGCCAAAGACATGGTGGGCCAGATGGGCGGCCTCTCCGGCACCACGTCCGTCACCGTCACGCTCACCGACGTCAACGACAACCCGCCTCGCTTCACCCACAGTAAGAGTCCGCGTCCTGGTGGGCGGATCAGCCGTAAAGCATCGGCCCCTCGGTGCATTTGTACTCTTTTCATCGAATGGGGCTTAAAGAGGTATTTTCGCGTTGCTTTGTCGTGCGTGTAGCGGACGCCGGTGCCGCCGCGCCTCGGCATGTGGAAATGAACTCATTGGAAAATACTGCTCCATTACTCCGCAGCCTGTGTGGTCGAATAAAGTTCAACGGAAAATACCCGTTTGAAGCAAAACACACTCATCAAAGCTGCCTGGCTGCCATCCAGACGCAATTCTCTCTTTATCTTCGCAACCCTCTCTTCCCCCTCACCCTACTGCTTTTAAAAAAATTAAATTAAAAAAGCACCTTCCTGCAAGGTGTTCATCAGAGCTCGGCGCCGCTCTCGGGGTTCGATACCAGGATCAATCGGGCTCCGTTTGTTTGTTTGTTTGTTTGTTTGTTGTCAGCCTGTAAATGGTTTCCAAGCTCGGCTCTGAGATTCAAAGGCACGCAGCGCTTCTCATGATAATCCCAAAGCGCCGGGGCAATCGGTCCGCCGCCGATGCTGCTGCACCTGCCGCTGGACCGCTGCAAAGCAGAGGCCATTTGCTGCCCCACCGGGGGGGTAAAGGAAGGTTCCGGTTTGCACAACTAGTCATCAATGCCGTTTTAAGCCAGCGGCGTGCTGATGGAAGGGAAGACACGTGGGAGGGATTTGTTCGCTCACGGGGGTCACAGGTCAGAATCAGTAGAGCGTTGCGGAGCGTCACAGCTGGTGCAGAGTCCACTACCTTTAGCTGGTCCTTGAGAAGAAACGAAAGAAGCGAAGCCAAGGTTAGCGTGCGTGAGCAGACAGTGGGGGCAAATCGGAGGGAGGAAAGCAATTCTTCGCTCTTTTAAAGAGCTGCTATTCCACGGCAAATTAAAAAGCCATTATAAAGATTACATGGAGGCAAACAATGTCAGGCAGATTAGCATTTAGACGGTGGCTGAGGGAGACACTGTAAGGAACACGGAAAGGTCTGGTAATGAGCTCTGCCACGGTGATTGGGTAGATTATGATTATGAATATGATTCCCTTCTTTATTCTTATAAGAGTCCTTTAAATCCAAAGGGTCAGACAGAAAGCCGAGGGAACACAATGAAGAGTTTTTGAGTAATAGAATCTTCGAGTGGACGTTTCATCCCATGAAAGATACCGAAAAGATCTTTAGCATTAGTCTTTTTTTAAATTCTTTTACTGTTTTGGTCTCGGGGAAAGCCATTGCATCAAGGCAGCACTCAGGGAGCTTCATGATATGAAGAAGTATTCTTTTCCAGCTGTAAATGCAACAACTGAAAATGTTTTTTGCTTCCCTATTTTTATGTTCAACTTATACATCGGATTGTCCGCTGCTGTTTGAAGCAAAATGCTTTATTCCGCGTGTGTCGCAGTTGCTGCCTGTCTGTGTTATGCAACATGAATTTATTGAGGAGCCACACAGCTGAATCAAAGCTGAAGGGGGTATAAAATAAAAAAATAAATAAAAAAAACTAGCCGCGCTGCTTGAAGGTGAGTTGGTGGTGAAATGAGCACATCCATTACCGGCATCCGCTCCTGTCCTTCCTCCTGCAGAAAACTATCTGCACGCGGTGCCGGAGTCGCTGCCGGTGCAATCTGTTGTGGCCAGAATCAAAGCGGCTGACGCAGATATAGGCTCCAACGCAGAGATGGACTACCGGATCATGGACGGCGACGGGCCCGGCGTGTTCAACATAACAACCGACGAGAGCACGCAAGACGGGGTCATCGTTCTCCTGAAGGTACTGCACATAAATCCCGATAAAAACAAAGACGGCCTCCGGTTTTTGACAGAGGGCTGAAGCCTCGCAGCGTGACTCTGCGCCTAAATGGTGCTAGACTTCCCCACGCTGGGAGTCAGTGAGACGTAGGGCGAGGTTTTGCGCCCGTCGGGTTCGGCCCTGCGCTCCAGCGGCTGCTGTGGCATTGAATATTTCCTGGAATATTGATGGACGTGGCTCACTGTCGTCTTTTTCCTCTTGTTTTTAAAGAGATCCAATATCAAATAACATATTTACAAAGCACCAAATGTGTATTAATCCATAGCTTGTAATTGCCCCCTACATAAATACCAGTTTAAGGAACTTAACTTTTTATTTCCAGCAGAAACTACATATTTGTGACTGTTTGAAGTGTTCAGGCGGACTGAGTGCACAGGCAGGGTGGGGGAGTCAGAAAGTATTAAAGACTGCAGCTTTGTGGATTTTGGTCTTTTCATGGGATTTGGCACCATGAAAAATATATATATGAGCAACCCCGGCTAGGTGGATTTTCCCTTTTTGGATCCGTGGTGTATTGGACAGCCTGTACGGCATTGAGGGGAGATTGCCGTTCCTGAAAAATAATTTATGTTTTCTTATAATAAACGGAGTGAAATGATAACAAAACGCTTATTTACTGGAGGAAAGAGACAACGGCCTCTCCCAGTTTCAGCTGCGTGTTTCTTTTAGGCCTTTAGATTAAGTGATAATCACTAATGACGAGTCGGCATTGATCCAACGTGGATCGAAGTTTACGTCCCATTGGTTTACTACCACGACGGCTCCAGCAAAAACAGCGTAGAGGTGAAAACAGTCGCCATGAATGACATCATTGATATCCGCCGACTTAAATACGCTTTGAAATCTAAAGTTAAACGCGTCGCATTTGTCATTTCGCATTTCTCGCTCGATTCTGCAACAAACAGACAGTTCCAACGTCGGCGAGAGCCGCTGGAGGGGAAAGTGTCAAATCAACGTTCTTCTGCAGGTTCGATAAAGTGGACAAAATGACTGGAAATGTCCCCGGAGCTTTTATTCCTCTCTGCCCGTCACCGTGTCGTCGGCCTTTGATCGATAGCAGCCACAGCAGCGTCGTCCTCCAAGTACAAAGAAGAGCGAAGCTTTTTCTAACCGCTCTCCTCCATTGATGAGAAGAGTGGACGTCTCACACCCATGTTGTCCATTCTGTCCCCCCCCTCCCCCCCGTCCTCCCCCCTCCAGCCTCTGGACTTTGAAACAAAGAGCACCTTCTCTCTGAGAATCGAGGCCACAAACCGGAACATTGACTCCGACTTCCTGAGCGCCGGCCCGTTCAGCGACACGGCGTCCGTCAGGGTGACCGTGGAGGACGTGAACGAGCCGCCCGTCTTTTCGCCGCCGCTCAGCAGGATGCTCGTCTCGGAGGACGCCAGGGTGGGCACCTCCATCGGGAAGGTCTCCGCCCACGACCCGGACACCTCCGGCAACGCCATCAGGTAACCGCTTGCCCGCAGCGTTTTTTTTTATTCCGTCCCGATTCACGTTGCGGCAACGCGCGCGGACGGACCTCTGCGAGCTGTTTGTTAACCAACAAATAGACGCTCGTAGAATCCCAGAATGAACCAGCCGACTTAACGACAGGAATGTGTTCAAATACCCCACATAATCCCCCCGTGTGGCGGCCGCAGACGCAGGGCCAGATGGCGGCGGGGTAGGAGGAGGGGGGGGGGGGGGGTCATGGAGTGCAACATTAGCAAAAGTGAAATGCCATGTTGGAGGAGAGAAGGGGCATTCCTCCAGGAGGGTCCCGCCATCCGTGACTCAAAACAAGCACTCGTATTGCCAATCTGCGCGGCGGCGCTCTCGAGATCCACTTCTGTTTTTGTGTTAATTGAATGAATATCGTGCGGCATCCATGCTTGCTCGGTCAGGATTCCGAGTAATCTTGATCAGAAAATCAAATTACTGCGCCATTGTTGCTGTAAATTGCCTCTTTTTCCTTCTGTGACTGTTATCAGTGTCTGCAATATATTTCTCTACATCTGTCGAAATTAAAATTATTGTGGAACTAATTCAGCCACAAGAGTCAAATTGCATTGCAATAATACCCTTTGGATGAGGGCTAATTGAAGTTGTAATTTTGTCTAGAAATGCGCCTTGTTGTGAGCTGCGGGCCGAGCAGAGCGGCCGCAGTTTATCAACTTATAAAAGGGTTTTGTTACATTTGTGCAGCGACGGTCCAAGTTTCTGCTGCCATTGTGAATTAGAAGCGTGCTGACTGAGAGTACTTTATGAAAAATGTCTGTACGGTTTGAGGAGGGAACTACTGAAATGAACGTTGAGTAAGTGCGCTGTGTGTCGTTGTCCAGGTACTCCATCGACAGAAACACGGACTTGGAGCGCTTCTTTAACGTGGACGCGCTGAGCGGGGTCATCAGTTCAGCCAAGCCTCTGGACCGAGAGGCCAACTTGATCCACAACCTCACCGTCTTCGCCATCGAGACGCGTGAGTTTGACCCCCGACCCCGCAGCACGCCTCCCCGAAAGACGCCGGCGTGGTGTGTCACCTGCAGACGTGCAAGGAAAAAGCTGCGCATAACGCACCCTCAGTAATAAACGCTGGTCATTTTAAAGCCCTAGGAGCATTTTAGCAGCTTACTACATTCATTTGTGAACTTTTCTTTTAAGTGGTGCAAAGCATAGTAACGAATGCAAAGCCTATTTATTTGTCCTACTTATTAAAAGCCCTACAAACTTTTACTTTGAAAATAATATGACGTAAGTTCTAGTAGCATAAAATGACTTTCTGATCATACATCTTAACCTATATATAAAAGCACTAACAAGAGTTATGCTGTTTGTTCATTTACGTGTCCTCTGCAACTTGGGTTCAGTTCTGTGCATCATGCATGTAGCCGTCAAGTTCATCGGTTCAAAAAGAGATGAAAATGTCAGCAACTTCTGGATGTCACGTTAGCTTGACTAGCCAGCTGCCAGAGCAAATCTTCCATTTCGTCCTCCAGGATCACTGTTTGCCGGCTGGAAACGGGAGGCAAGCAGTGTAAGCGCTTCCCAAACCGGCTGAGACGTTGGAGTCGTGAACCCGACGCCTGCCTTGGATGGCGGGATACTTGTTGGCTGCCGAGGTCTCACATGCCGCTGTGTGCAACCTGTTGTCCCGCTCATGGTGTCACATGGACGTCCGTGCAGAGGGCGATTCGGTTGTCGGGGGGGGTTGTCGCGGGGCTGTCGGGGAATGTTAATTCACGCGCAGGACAGTCGACCTCCGCGTGTCCGCGAGCCGGTGGGGACGAGATGCTGACTCAGGGCGGACGATCTCACCCGCGGGTGAACTATGCTAATGCGACGTGAAGAAGTGCCGGCTGCCTTTTTGATTATCTCTCAATGGCTGGAAGGACACGAGTGCCTTCTTTCTTTCTTTCTTCTTTTTTTTTTTTTTTACCAGTCTTTGCATCACTACACTTGGATCACGCACACACACACACACACACATTGGACACAAACACGACCCGGCGAGCTCGGTCCACAGCTGCGTCCCAGAAGGAAACACGAGGCCGTCGGCCTTCCCGCCTCCTCCGCATTCACTTAAACACTGTTTGAAAGGCGGAGTGTTCATTTCTCTCCGAAAGCGTTTCTCCTCGTCCTTTGCTTCAAAAGGTTTTTGTTTGTTATTTACATCTAATATCACAGGGACGCGCCGCTCGGTCGGCTCCCCCGAGCCAGGTTGCCGGATATAGCAACAAAGAGACGGCGGCGTGTAATAATAGCCACGTAAAATGTCACGGCGGCCCCCATCGCGCATGAGGTACTGGCTTCTGACTCACGGTGACATCGGGAGCCGTTTCCAGCCTGAAAACATCCCTCAGTTTACGGACCGGCTCCGTAATCCACCGCCACGTGCGCCCGATCACAGTGTTTACAGTAAATGGCTTTTCTGCGGCTGAAAGGAGTGCGAGGAGCTGGCTGGTCGGGGGAGGGGAGGGAGGAGGGGAGAGGGGGGGGGGGGGGGGGGGGGATGTTGTGCATCCGGAGCTGCAGTCACTCACATTTCATGCGCTGTGGTCGGACCGCCGCGGTGACAGGAAGCCCGTGGCCCCCCCGAGGCGCCGCGCGTCCCCTTTCATGGCCGCCAAATCACCAATGTCAGCGCGCCATCCTCCCACACCCCCCCCCCCCCCCCCTCCCCCCATCCCCCCCCGGGGGCCGGCACGGCGGCGACGCCGGGCTCAATCATCGTCTCAGCACTCAGACGCAGCCATTTAGCCATCAGCGCGGAGGCCGCGGTGCGAGGCGGCATCGTCCGCCGCCGCTCGGCACCGGGCGCAAAATCGCTTTGGCGGATCCGCAGGCTGCGGGTGCCAGTCGCACGAGGTGTGCTGTATATTTATTTATTTGACCCCCCCCCCCCCGCCCTCCTCCCTTGAGATTAATTAGAGCACACGAGGAAGATCAATATTCCATGAAACGGTCTTCGGCAGAATCAAAGTGTTTGCCGCAAAGCTCTGACACAAAGGCTTCTTCTTCTCTCCTTTTCTCCCCCTTCAGAGGACCCGACCCAAATTGGAAAAGGCGTCGCCGTCATCACCGTGCTGGACATAAACGACAACGCTCCGGTCTTCGCCATAGACTACGAAACCGTCCTGTGTGAAAACGCCGCGGCGGGACAGGTGAGGCCCGGAAACGCCGACCGCGGTTTTCGGGAAAGTTTCAGAGAACCGGCTGAGTCTCTCAAAGCCATTAAAACTTTGTCCGCTGTGCACACCTCCACTTCCCAGCCCGAGGTCACCCCGGGGAGAAGGCCTCATTAGTATGAGACGCATCCTTAAGATTTAATAGCAGGTGTTGTGGTATCCTTCATTGGAGATGTACCTCTCATTCCATTATGTCAGAGCCCGCTGAATTAACGACGGCGCTCCACTCGCCGCCTGTGGTCCAAATCCACAACAATATCCCGGCGTAATGCGGCGCCTCGCGATGGGAAGGATTGGTGCGCCGCCGTGCTTTGACTTTCGCTTCGGAGGCTCTGCGTAATTAAACGATCACGGCGGAGAGGCGAAGAGTCGCAAAATCACCAAAAGGAAGAAGAAAGAAAAAAAAAAAAAGGGACGCGGAGACGTCGGGAGGGTTTGGTGACGCGATCCAGGAGAAGAAGGGAGGAAATGAAGCCGCGGCCATGCGTGGCGCTTTGGCTTCATTGTTGCTAAATGGCTTGTGCGTCTCCGGTGGCGATTCGTCTGCTTTTGGCATTTGGAAAACACAATCAGAGGCGTCCGTGTAAAGGAGGCGTGTAGACCTGCATAAGTACGATTGATCAGAGTGATGCATCGTATTGGAAAATAGCTATTAGGCCTCTTTTTAAATATGCTATTTGCATTTATACTTCAGAGCTGTTTGTCACCGTGCTCACAGGAGGGTGAACGAATTGCATTTGGGGTAATGAGGGACCATATTTCGTGTCGGCCTTTTCCTCTGTGTGCGTGATGTGATGCTTGACCACAACGTAGGTGACGCTACGGGTTTTGACGCTCGGTTTTTATTTTTCTGTTTCTCTTTTTATTTGTTTTGTTCAGACTTAAAAATGAAAACTTAATGAACTTCACTGCATCAAATTCAACCTACCTTGAGGTCTTTTGAGATATGGCAGATCTATATTTAATTAATTGGATTCTAGCCTTCGGGTGCAGAGTATTTGCTGAAATAAACATTGCCTCTACATTAGTCGCCATCATTATTGAAGGATTCCTTTCTACCGCAGAACGTCTGTTTTTTGTTAATGATGCTGCCACTTATCTTGGGATGAGTGTTGTTGCTCAGCAATATCAAATTTAGAGCATCCCTAGCAACCATCCATCACCCGTCAATACACCCTGACTTCCAAATTCAACTGATAATTTGCACATTTCTCCCCACTAGCGTCTGATAAATTATGGCGCAGGTCCTACGCGACGATACTGAAACAAAGTCGTTTCCCAACAATCAAACCGGCCCCGAGGACACGGCGACGGCCCCGGTCCGTGACAGCGTCATCAGCAGGAAAAGGTGCCGCGTATCTGTAATTACTCAGCCGGAGCGGACAGATTGCTCCGTCAATGCCAGCTGATGGCTGAGCCGCGAGGTAGCCTGCCGTCCGGCCCCGGCGGAAAGACGCCGCGCCGCGTTCAAATCCCCTCCGCCTCCGCCCTGAAAGTGGTCGTGGAAGCTTTGTAAAGAGAGGCGTGAATTTCATCTCTTGTCTCGTGTTAAAGATTGCCGGCATCTTCCAATCACGTTCGTCGATACATAATAAAATGTAAACTGTGGCTTCCTCATCTTCTTCCCCTTGTTGCCGGACAGAACGAATCAGAACCAGAGCGGTTCTCGTTTTTATTTTTCTCTCATCCGGAGATTAGATCTATTAAATCCCACTCAAATACAGCCTTGTGTTCAGGCAGCACCCAAGTGCACCAGCGGGTTTTTGCACCTTTCGGTCGTAATGTTGAAGATGGAAATTCCGTGAGGAAATTTACACCCCAAAAACACATTGGGAGCAAAGGGAGGGAGGGGGAGAGGGGTTGACATTTGGAGGCGGAACCCGGTGTGAATGGCAACGAGGTGTCGGCTGTCTGCGAGCAGTCGGGGCGGGTGGGACTCGTGTGACCTGCCCCCCCCCCCCGATTCCTAATTCATTAAAACGCTTCCCGTTGTGTAACGTGTGTCCGGCTGAACTGCCTTCGTTTTGCCCCCCCCACCCTCCGCGCCCCAGCTCCGGGGGAAGGGAAATGATAACATTTTGCCGGTGGGGGCCGGGGGGGTCGACTGCGTGGCTCCGTGTCACAGATTAACATGGACTGCAGGGACGGAGGAACCTGCCATCTTTCAGGCCTAATTAAAGGCGTCTCGTGGCACCGGCTCCGTCTCCAGAGATGCCGCTCGTTACGGATCACCGGTGCGTCTGTCTTTTCGCCATGATGCTAATTGATATTATGATGGGGTGGAACAGGGCACGGGCAGTGGGGATGGCAGGGGGGGGGGGGGCTTGGGTCATGTTGTACAATCACTTCAGTGTAACCATTACACGCATGAGGGGACTTGGCATTCTGTTGCCCCCAATGTGCTGCACTGCCCCTCCCTCAACTCCTGCCGCATCCCGGAGGAGAGACGGCATCCTCCCGAGGTCCATGGATGAAGTAATGAGGGAGGGAGGGGGGTAATTGAGGGTAAGATGTGGGGCACTTTAGTAGGACTGCTGTGGCCCGTCGCCGCATTGGATCTTGTGTTTGGGTTATAAAAACTCTTTGGTGACTTTGTGTCATGTACTGTGGAAATACTTTGACAACTTTTGGGCCTGAACCTTTTTCAGTGCCCCCCCGAACACTTCCCCCTAATCCAAACTCGACTTAACACCTCTAAAGTACTCGGCTGTCAACACACACACACACACACAAACACCAGCGATGCCTTCGCACCTCCAGTCTTCATTCAAATTATCAGTTTACGGTGAGTGTTGAGAAGAGAGAGGAGGCGGATCAGCGCCCGAACGTGGCGCCCTTTAACCTCGGCAGCATCAGGCGACAGTCGAACCCGCTCGCAAGAAGGAGAAGCGATTGGAAGATGACGCACGCGCTGACTTCACGGGGTGTTTTTCTGCAGGAGGGGTGGGGGGGTCATGTGTGTGCGAGTGCTGCTGATCTGCCGGTGAAAGTCATGGGTGTCACACGGGTGATGTTTGGGTCGTCGATGTCATGGGAAGGGTGTGAAAAATGCCCGCCCCCCCTCCTCCCCCCTCCTCCCCCATCACCTTCTCTCTCCCGCGGCTGCCGCCTATTTGATGCAATGCTCACTTACACTCGTAACTTCATGTTTCCTTAAGTCCTTGGTGCCGAAGGTTGCGTGATGATCACAGGCGGCGCGGACGCACGTCGCACATCCTGCAGCAGCGCAGGAGTCCTCCTTGTTGTGTAAACGCAGCGCCGCGTTTCCGCTGTCGGCGTCACAGAGGGGAACGTTTTTATTCCAGCTCGTTATCCCGCAGCTTTCTTCTGTGTCTGGCCCGAGCTGCGTTAGCCTGACATCTCTTCCCCTCATTACGGAGGCCACATCTCCAGCTGTCTCTCCGGCGAGGCACGCGCCGCCGCTTACGGACGCCTCGTGTCAAAGCCGCGATGAGTTGCGGTCGTGGTAGTTCACTGAAATGCTTCGGGTGTTTTGGATAATCAAATTACGACCGTGTGAACGGCCGCGTCTCAGTCGGTGGGATTTGACCCGCGGACGTTGCGAGTGAGGTGAGCGGGTTCGGCTCCGTCGTCCAGGTGCTGCACAGTCGGGAGGATCGTGCGTCCAAAAGACCAGACTGAAGTGTTCAGACCCGGTCGATGGCGTCGGATTAAAGACAGAAGTGTTTTTGTTGAAGCTCATTTGTTTGTAACAGAAGAAGAATTCACAGAATGTCTTTAAGCTTTGGCTGACTCCATTATCTTAATTTCAAAATGTCTAACTTTAGCGTTCAACGTTCGTGCGTGTCCGACTATAAAATAAACACACAAAACGGAACATCTGTGCGAGCATTCATCACCGTGTCACAGGACCACGGGGGGGATCTTAACTTTTCTAACTTTTATTAGATCCTCTGTAATCAACCTACTGCTGTCAAATTCGATTCTCCAGTTGGCGAGCCGAGCCTTCTGTCATCACGACACGGCGGCACCGAGCGGGGACGTCTCCCTCTCTTGCTAGATGGACTCACGGCGTGCGATGCGGACTCGCAGGTTGACATTAGAGCCGGGTCAATAATTCAGCCAGCCGCTCGGTTAGCTCGTTGCATCTACATCAGTATCAGCGTACACGTCGGCCGATATGAAAACGAAAAAACACACAGAACAGAAATGCCAAACTAGAATTGAGGTCAAACGAGGTCAGAAGTACAGTTACGAAGCTGCACCGCGGAGCCCTGAGGTTTATTTCCAGTGTGAAATGTCCTTCTCGGCATGTATCTTTAAATGATAAAGAAAGGAGAATCCGTTAACTATCCATTTCTACGTCATTATAAGAGCCGGTTAAAGATCCAAGGAGCTTCGTTTTCAGACGTCACAAGTGACAAATGTTTGTGACTTCCTGTTTCGGGACACTGTTTATACCCAGAAAACAGTCCGCATGCCTTCAACACACAGCAGCGGCCCCTGATGGAAGCAGAGAATCTAAGGGCCGTGACAAAGCTTTCACTACCGATCAGTGTGTGTGTGTGTGTGTGTGTTGTTTGCCCATTCTCCTCCTCTTCCTCCTCCAAAGCGGCAAACAGAGACACCTTTGTCCTTTTTATATCCTCTCCGATCGGATGTGCGGCCGATTTGTGAACCTCAAAAACAAAAAAGAGAGCGAAGCGCTGTAACCCGGTGATTCATGGGCCTCCTCGGTCTCGCCTTGCGACAGGCACCAGTCTGCCGCTGCCGTTAATGTCTCCCCGTCACAATTTATGTCTACATCCATGCCCCTCTCCTGCCGTCTGCTGCTCAAACCATTAGAGAACCCCCCCCCTCCCCCTCCACCGCGCCCCCCTTAGAAGGTTCTCGCATCAGAGCGCCTCTAATGAACGGCATTATTCGTTACGCAGTGTTTGATCTAAGGGTGATTTACAGTCCGTTCCCTCAGCAGGAGGAAACAGAAAGCGCGGATAAAGCTCCCAACTCGTCTGCCACGTTCAAAGGACATCAAAGGGGCGGCGCCGTGCGCAAGGATCCCGCCACAAAGCGGAGGGTCTCCATCAGACGTGAGATTTCCGCGAGCGAGAGAGCGGCGTTGGGAGTTATTGTGATCCCGGGATCAATGGCAGCTTCCCTGATATGCAGCGGGGGGCACGCACACACACAGGTGCTCAATGGTGCTGACACAAACATCCATTCCGTCTGCATGTACAGATATGCCGGATGTTCCTCGGCTGCAGCAGATAACCTCTCTGCGTCGCCCCCCCCCCCTCTCTCTCGTGCAGAGATGGCAAACAGAAACCAGGAGGCACTTTGTCATTACTTTTGGCTCATGAAAAAGCAACTATTTTAATTTTGTTAAGAAACGGGAGTAAAATATTCATGCATTTTCACCCCGCCTGCCAGTTTTAATAATTGGCAGGACGTCGTTTGCCACCTACACCAACGCCTAATACCTGACAGCTTGTAACCAGCAGCATTTAATCACAGCTGACAGCTGATAATCCACGTCTCAGCACTGATGGAGCGTTTGCTTTCTTTTTTTTTCTTTTTCCCCGCGTCCTCGCCCCTTGTTATTTATTCATTTTTTTCCTAATTACGTTTTTTTGTCTTGATGTTTCGAGGCAGCCTGCGAGATGTGATAATTCAGTGCGAATTGCTTCTCAGAGTCTCTTGGATCCCGTCCAGCGGTGTGAGTTGTTACCGCGTTGACTCCCTCCATTGCCTACAAAGGACTTCGGGAGGCTTGATCTAAATTTATAAGGACGCTGCCGCAGTAACTCGCCGTTTGATGGTGGCTATCGTCCACATGGCACGTCTGTGTGTGATACGCGGCCGCTGCACAGCATGAACCAGTCGGATTCCCCTTATTTCTTTCCTTCCCACTGCAGCTAAGTGCTGCCGCGTGGAATCATTTAAAGGGAGCGGACAAAACGTGTTATCCGATTGTCGGGTAGCGCGTTTGTATTCATGAAAAAAAAGTGATTGCAGCACACGCTGGTGGGCGTAAATAAATTGGATCATTTGGTGGTTTTATTCCCTGCATTATTCATACGTGTCAACGCTGCTGTACAGTAGAAGGGAGGAGGACTCCGTGCGGTCCGGAGTTCAGAGGCAGAATAAAGTGTTCCAAAACAAATAGCGGCCGCTTGTTTACCTCGAAGATACCAACGCTCGTCTCGCGTCGCCCCGAGCAACAGCGGTTGTTGTCGCGAGTGATTTTCATACGTTGTAATGACGAAGTGGGGACGTCCGAGTGCGCAGCAGACACATTCGTCTCGGAGCACCAACCAGGCCGGTGTTTGTGGCTTTAGACGGTAGAAGGAGACTCTCTGAGGAAAAGGTCCATTAAAGGTAAACAATTATTTTCAAATCCAGAACATTTCCGTGTGATAAATAAGCTCCTTACCGCCGTTCCACTCTTGTTGCTGAATGTTGTGTGTGTCCAATTGGAAGTGTGTAGAAAAAGCCAGCGATGGCTCACAGAAAGAAAGGTGTATGTTGCTCGGCTCCCAAGAAAGGGCAGAAAATGTCGATAAAGTGGAGAAAAGCGAATGTTACTATTGTCTACTTTCATTGTGACATCACGTCACACAGGTTTGTTGGAGATGCGAGTTTGCCACGAAAAGGCGTCTCAGCAGACAGTTGAAGAGAAAAAGAAAGAATTCTCGCTATTGCCTGAAGGAACTATGTAATGCAACAAAAAAGAAAAAAAATCCATAATCCTTTTCCATTATTTCACTAAATGGATGTTTCGGTCTGAGGTGTGCGGACAAAGAGAATTGTTGCCTGGACAATAATTTTCTTCAGAAGAAATCACCTCCCAAAAGAAAACACTTCATCTCTAAGAGGTTGCCAAGCTGCTGCCAAATAAGCACTTACTGCCCTTCAACGCATAAATGACACAAAAGCACAGCCCAACATTATAAAACAAACCCTTTCCATCAATCACCATCAGCGTGATTTTCCCCCGTTCACTCAACGCAGATTTACGCTTCGCCGTGAACACATTTACACATCCAACGCTTTCCTTCTTACTGGTTTAAACAATGTGGAGAGAGGACTGATCTCCAGTGTCTTGTCTCTTACCTGTGGTCCTCAGGTGATCCAGACCATCAGCGCGGTGGACAAGGACGAACCTCCGAGCGGCCACCGCTTCTACTTCGCCCTCGCCGCGCCCGCCGCCGGCAACCTCAACTTCACCCTGCGAGACAACAAAGGTGCGACGACCCAAACATTTTGGGGGTTTGCCTGTGATTGGAATGTAGACTTGTTCCTCTCTCATCTGACTATTCACACAGAAGCCTCCAGAAAGCACTGAGTTTGATATTAACGGAGGTCAACATTAAACATCTACTATTGTCTGTTTATCTGGAGCTTCAGTATGAAGCTGGGAATGAATGAAAACGCGATACAAAGATTCAAAGATTTTTATTGTCAATTACACACGCCCTGTGTATTGAAATTCGTTTGCTTGCCTTTTCTGGAAAGCCGACCAATTTTAAAACTAAAATTAAAAAATAAATAAAAATAAAAATAAAAATAAATAAAAAAATGAAATAAAGATAAAAATGAAAAATAAAGATAAAAATAAAAATACAATTTTTACATAAATACATATTTACATAAATGATAATACAATAGTGCTTCCTCTTTGTAAACCAAGGAGTCGGTCACCAATCGTACGACCCGGTCAAAGACCCGCGCGGTACTTTCAGCAGCCGGATTCAAAGACTCCCTTGAGAACATTGCCGGTTGGTCAGGTTCGGTTCGGCTCTTTTTGCTGCTTTACGCCTTCCAGTCCAGCCTGGCAGCAGTGGAATTGACGCTTTGTCCGTTGGTCTCTCTGTATCCGCCCTGAATCCGGCCTCCTTCTCCCACTGCACTCTCACTCAGGAGGAGGAGAGCGAGCGGCGCCCCGCGGCGTGCCTCGCCGCGCCAAATGAAACCCATAATTCTGCCGTGACAATTCCCTCTCCGCTCCTTTTCCTGTAATTGCTCATCAAAACGGAATGCAAACCCTCCCCCTTAAAACTTTCCGCCGCAACCCGGAGCGGATCAGAGGGTCGGAGGACGGCGGGGGTCTCCGTGTTTTAGATCACAGAACAACTGTGACCTCAACGCGCAGCCTGGGAACCGCCTCTGTACCGCGACGGCTCGCTCGCCACCTACACGCCAGCCGGGGGGGGAATGCAGCCAATGAGCTTCTCGTATCAGATCACAGTTTTAAAAACACGGCCAAGTATTTCATGCAGTACTAGTGAATGCTGAACTACTTGTAACAGTATTTCTACATGTGCTAACACACAATGTTATATTAGATAATAAATAGAGTGTTTTGCCTTTACCATCAGAATACGTTTATCTGACACTAATTGTTAAATTTTCCAGCCAAACCCGCTTTGTGTTTCACTTTCAAAGGCAAAACATTCTCTCTGATGTGGCGCCGACGAGGAAGCTCATCTCTATATTCATTTGGACTCTATTCTTAGACTCACGGAGCAATCTGAGTATCGACGAATGTGAGCACACAAAGGATTTTTTTCCTTCAAGGGAAAATCTACATTTCAAGTGTGACCGCTCAATTTAAAGTGCATTTCAATCCACTGAAGTCACAAAATGGCTTCATTTAGCTCTTTTCTGCGCCGTAATGCACATTGTTCTGCCTCCTTCTCTCCCGTATGAGATTCCACGTAACATTTCCACGCTGTTATTAGCCAACAGGTGGTCAGACGCAGGGAGAGACGCGTAATGAAGTGTGTTAATGACACCATCTGTCGGCGTGAGCGCTGCGAAATCACTCCAGACGGCGGCGAAGCGCGGCGATCGTCGCCGCCAGGACGTCGCGCCTCCCGCCGGTCACATGCGCGCGGGTTTCCGCGGGGTCACCTGGCGACCGATGAACTTCGACGGAGCAGCTAATTAAACACGGGCGCTCGGGCTGCTTCTCCTTAACAGCGTGTGTTCCTTCCTTCCTTCCTCTGTGCAGACAACACGGCGTCCGTGCTGACCAAGCGGGGCGGCTTCAGGAGGCGGGAGCAGGCCACCTACCGGCTGCCCGTGCTGATCGTGGACAGCGGGAGTCCCGCCCTCAGCAGCACCAACACGCTGTCGGTGCGCGTGTGCGACTGCGACTCGGACGGCGCGGCGCTGTCCTGCGGCGCCGTGGCCTACACGGCCACCGGCCTGAGCACCGGCGCCCTGGTGGCCATTTTAGGGTGCATCATCACGCTGCTGGGTAAGGTCCATATGGGGTCAGAGGTAACGGCTTTGTTCCTAGTTTCTTTACATTTTACCTGCTCAACACAATAACCGGATGTTTGGTCACAACAAAGTATAACTTTCCGGTAGTACAGCATATCATGTGATACTCAAGTGTAGTCAAGGTACCACAGAACTGTTGGATTAATCAACCAAGTAAGTAGAACTAAACTCGCTTGTGTTCGTTAACAAGTGGATCATTGGATGCTGAATGCAACGGCGACGAGCGAAACCAGATCGCTGGATGCTAGAAAGCACTAAATAAACACTGTCGTGCAAATAGATATATTATGAGCAGCAGCACGCATGGCACAAAGTCTTTGCATGAGGGTTATAGATAGTAAGCAAATGGGATTTCCAGGGGCAGCGTCACGTTGGACTGTGCAGAACTGATCGGGGAGAAACGGCTGAATCTTTCCTTTATTATTCTGATGAGAAACATAGCAAAACTTTGGATTTCTAGATATTCCAGCCATTCGCTTACTGCAAATATTCCAAATTATCTCAAACTATGGATGAAATCAATGAAATGGGCCCATGTGTCTAAGATCACGTGACAATGGATGCTGGATGCCAGCCCTCCCCTGCAGAAAGGCTCTCAGCCCTCTCGTCCCACTCGCTGCACAGCTTGCACAGACTCTTTGCAAAACCAGAAGAGTGTGCAGGTCACCGGCGGCTCACGTCGGCTTTAACGTAGCCAACGTGTCCAGTCGTCTGCCTGAAGGCGACCTCCGCGGGTTCAGATTTAAGTTCCGATTCGGTAAGTGGCGGTAATGTTGAACGTGTGCTGCAACTATAGAAAAGGCCGCTTACCTCGGTGTTTACAACCCATTCACACTAATCGCTGCCATTATTCATTCTGCGGCCGCTGGAAGAAGAAGTGTGTGTGTGTGAGAAGCTTCGCTAAAACACAGTTGCTTTTGGAGGTCCTGCACATGTCAAACCTGCAGGGAGATATCCTCCCCTCGCGTTTCCTCTCTGGTAAGTACGAGTGACCCGGGTCGGCCGGCTCTGAATAGCTGCCTGCGTTTTTACAAAGAAAACACCACTGAAATCGCGCCAATTAGAGTCGGTGAAGCGGGTTTTTCTGGAGTATTTTTATTGTAATGTTTAACTGGAGCAGATGAGAGAATGTTTGCTGTGTGTCGGATGGACTGTGTGCTCCTCCAAGGATTTGACCTTCATCACTTTTAGGATATTTATCTGGGTTTTAAGAGTTAAAATGAGATTTGTTTGCAGTGTTGTTCATCTAAATGTCATTTTATAAGACTGCATTCACTTGATTGGTCAGTTCATCGTAAGGATCTTGTAAAGTTCTTAAGGTTTCTTTATTGAAACCTTTCATTTCCAGTTAATAGTATATCTCATTTATGTTTCTCATTTCATTGTGAGAAAGTGGAGCCTGAAGAGAGTCGGTGATGAGATTTCAGACGATTCTCGTGGTTCTTTCCTCCTGATACATTCCGGCGTTTCTCATAAACTCGATGATTCCGTGGAGGTCACAGAGAGAAGCGGTGATGGGAATAGTGCATTCTGAGGCTGGGCTCCAACCTGCTCCTGGTAGAGAATCGACACGTCGGTGAACCAGAAGCTCAGAGACGCCGTCCCTGTCGGCGCTCATCAAACGGGAAAAGGCGCCAGTCGTAGTTTGACGCCGTTGAAACGAGCTTTTCGCTCCAGTTTGCCTTCCTGTCATCGCAACACAGGACCCTCCTCTGCATGAGTGAAGACCCTCAGAAGAGCAACGGGGGGGGAAATGTGTGGCCGAGCAAACTCTTGAGTATCAAGTGTAAGGTAACATAAAATGGAAATTCTCGTTGTATCCGAGTACCCCGTCTTCAGTCTGCTCCCTTTCCTTCCTTTCTAATAACGGGGCTGCAGAGCTGCGAGTCGAGTGCCACTTTTCCTCTCGTCCGTTGGGTCGGAGAGATTCAATCGGGTCCTGCGTGGCGTTCAGTCGGCTCGCGCTCTGCGTGCTCCTAAGCTAAGTGGCCATTAATCATAAGTTGATATATTTTTAAATGTAATTACAGAGTTCGTCCTCTACTCTTTGCGGTAATGCGTCTGCAAATGTCTGGGTACAAAACTCCTTTTTTTGTTTTTTTTCTTGTTTGTTGTGGCTGCAAATGTCATCTCAACCCTTTTTTTAATGATACAATCACGGTACCCAAAGTACCGAGGCAATCATTATCTTGTTAGGATCCAGCGGCATCCCCCCCCCCAGTGCATGTCAGGTACGGCCCAATCCTCCAGAGGACCAATTAGGACATTACGTAGCACTCTAAACCTCCAGACAGTATTTTCTGTCTGAGTTTTGCTCATCCGACTTATTCTATGAATCTTTATTTCTATACAACCGCCTCTGATTCCACTCTCCGTGTCGCGCGTTTGCCTCTTTGTCCGTTTCTGTTCACGAGTTCACATTCAGACGGCAAGACTGCTTTTGTTTTTCCACATGAGAACTTTGAGCTTCATTGTGGACGTTGTAACCTTCACACATTTGTTTGTTCAAACGGTGCAATTATTCGCTGTCACACTGGCTGAGACAATACAGCAAATCAATTAAGAGCAGATTTGTCTTCATAATGACAGCCTGGCAGAGGCTAAACAGACCAACAACAAACAAAAAAAATGCCAACAGCTCGCAGAAGGATACGAAAGAAAAAAAGACGCTAAAGACACACGGAACATCATCCGGACAGATAGTGTGACGGATAACATCTGAGCCAACAAAGAAACAATAAAAGCCGTTTGAATCATGCAGCAAACATACAGATAAAGGAGCCGATAACGTGGAGGATTCGTGTTTGCACGCTGGGATTGTTTCTTTGCCAGTCAACAGCGTCCGGTGCAGAATGCATTTTGTTGCAATGTAATTTATGCAGACTGCTGATATACGAGACCTTCGTCTAGACACCGTTATTTCCTGCCGGCTCTCTTCTGCTCCTTCTCATAGCTTTTGTGGTTTCACATTTTAAGTCAGTAACTAAAGCTAAACGTCATCGTTGGGTTAAAGAAAAGCTATTTTAGAATTTATTTTCAACATTTTCTCGGAGTAAACACATACTTAATTAATTGAGAAAATCGTCTTCAATCATTTTCTTGTGGCTCTGAATTCAACATAATAATATTGGTTTCTTAGCTGATGCTGTCTCTCGGGTCAGCGTGTGTGACCCTGTATCAAACCATAACACTAATTGAATGAAAATAATCACGTTTTCTCAAAGTTGTTTTACATGTACACCAAGTTTTTCGACAGCAGCTTAACTAATTACCCATCAAATCACGACAAACACAAACACTGGAATTTCTAAGGACCTCAATTAATCTTTTTCATACATCGCTAACTGAAGAAACAGTTTTTCTGGGCCTTTAATGTTCCTTTTTTTTATTTACAACAAAGAAAGTGATGATACTTCTACGAACATGGTCCTCCCTGCACACCGTTGCTGATTGATACGGAACGAATAAATAATCAGTGCAAATTCACTGGAATCACATGCAGAACACAATACTCTAATGAGAAAGTGCCTTCAGTGATGCATGCTGGGGGGGGGGGGGGGGGCAGCACGGAAAACTCACCTTGTTCGGTATCGATTGTGCCGAGTAGATCATTTAAACAATTCAATTTCAGCAACAAGCCTTTGTGGCTCCGAGCTGATCTGCTTTTGTTTTTTGTAATTTGTTGTACAGCATCAGTAAATGTGTGTGTGTGTGTGTGTGTGTGTGTGTGTGTTTGCTCACCTGTCTGGGCTGGAAATCATTTGTTACAGCACCCTCGGTACCTGACACAGACCCGCTATTTGTATGCCCGGCCGTCCACCTGCTCGTCCTCCCAGGACGTGATTGGATGGCCCCTTTCCAGCCCGTGAAGCATCACGGCCGCCTTCGAGGCATCAAACCCTTAAAGAGCTTTGCTGGAAAGCACTGAGAATATTCTACTTCAATGTGCCACTTTGCGATTCACTTTACAGCAGCCCCACTGAATCCAATAGAATTTAGAACCACTCCGGTGTGTGAAATTAAAGGAAACAATCTTCCGCAGGAGAGCTCGCCGTCCTGTCTTAAAGAGTGTCGTGGGTTTTTAGTGGAGCCGGACCGGGAGGAACCATTTCACGTATTTTACCACAAGAAACTGCCCACAGAGGGCCACTCATTCGTCTCCCGCTGCCCTTCCATGTGACACATCCCCCGGCCGCCTCCCGTCTCTTCCATTTGCTCCCTTATTAGAGGATGTGAAGTGGTGTTTGAATTTCGGGCTCGTGGGCTCCTTTCTGGCCCGGCTGCAGCGGCTCGACGTCGGGCCGGAGAAGAGTTATGGGCGCGCGGAGCGATCCTTCACTGGCATCAGCTCGACAGTGACGGATGGAGCATCATTAGACATTTGCCAGTTTGCTTGGGCGTAGAGTTATTTTCAGCAATAACGTATGGCAGAGGGAACGGAGGGAGGGGGGGGGGGCGGGGTGTAATATCTCAAGAGGACCACAATTTGGTGGAGTTTTGTCTGCGAGCAAAATGAAGGTGGTGGAAACCACAGAGAGGCACAGTCAATTAAATTACAGGTTTTCTCGGTCGTTTTCTGACCATTTTAGTCTCATGTTCCCCCACATGCTCGTCGTCATGGAGTCTCCTCCATTTCCTCCGCAGTGATGGTCCTGCTGATCGTGACGATGCGCCGGAGGCGGAAGGAGCCCCTGATCCTGGAGGAGGAGAGGGACATCAGAGAGAACATCGTCCGCTACGACGACGAGGGCGGCGGCGAGGAGGACACGGAGGCCTTCGACATGGTGACCCTACGCAACCTCAACGCCATCCGGGACCCCGGCGCGCGGCGGGACGTGACACCGGACACCCCCACCTTCTTCCGCTACACGTCCACCGCTCGCCCGGCCTACAAGTCCCTGCCGGACAACGTGGTGTTTCGGGAGTTCATCTGGGAGCGGCTCAAGGACGCCGACGTGGACTCGTCGGCGCCGCCCTACGACTCGCTGCAGACGTACGCTTTCGAGGGCAGCGGCTCCGTGGCGGAGTCCCTGAGCTCTTTGGAGTCGCTAAGTACGGACTCGGAGCAGAACTACGACTACCTCAGCAACTGGGGGCCGCGCTTCAAAAAGCTGGCTGACTTGTACGGCAACGGCGACGGAGCCGGCGTTTTCTCATAGCCCCTGAATGTCTCGCTTTACATTTCTCTAAAAAAAAGATTTAAAAAAAAAAAAGAAAGAAAAAAATAAAACAGAAAATTAAAAAAAAAAAAAAAAGAGTAATTTATCGTCGGATGAAATTATTTTGTTCGCCTTGGAGCAGCAGGAAAAAGATTGCGAGACAACGGAGGGGAGCTTAAGGAAAACACTCTTGACTTCAAAGGTTTGTTTACCTCCTGGTGCCACGGCGAGTTCTGACACGGATTTCAAAAGGGGCTCGGCCGAGGAGGAGACGTCGCGTGGAAAAGACATTAAAAGGTTTTCAGATCCCGGGCTGGGGTCCAACCGCTGACTGCAGAATGCAAACATGTCGGAGCCCTTTGACGGGGAGGCACCTGTCCTTTCATTCCAGCGATGGGCTCCGGCCCAGCGCTCTCGCTTTGATGCATTCCTCCGCTTTCTTTGTGCTCAAAAAAATGTTGCCCGTGAAATAACGCGTCCCTGGTGGCTAATCAGCAGTCACTCGACTGTTTGTGTGAAATTTGACAGCAGAATTTTGTGGGGTTTTTCTTTTTTTTTGTGGTTGGGGGGGGGGATCGAGGTAAAGAAAAGGTGTTTTTTCATCATCAACATTTTCCGCATTACTCGGAGACTCGTACCTCGCAACACCGTGTGAGAAGTTCAGCTGAAGTTCACGCGGCGTGAACTAGTAAGTGATGTGAACACACGCAAATATTAAAAAAGAATCGCACTCCTTTGATGAGGCCGGGAAGTATCATTTCTCTTATGGTCCTAACAATGCATTTTGCAGGTGTTGCAATGTAGTGTTTTTTTTTTTCTTTCGCCTTTCTATTGACAAGTCCAATGTATGATTTCTGATGTGACGATTGGGTCGTGTTGCTTTTGTACGAGGGGGGCGGGGGGGAGTTGGGGGGTGGGGGGGGTTACTGGGAACGTCTGTTGCAAAGACAAAGCTTTGTTGAGGGTCCTTGTTGTGCTTGATGACAAGATTCACACCACCTAGATTCTAGAAAAAAATTGATTTGTTTCTGAAAGGGACATTGAACTCAAAGTTTTTTGCCTCAGTAGTTTGCAGATTGAAGCATATATTGTCGTTCAGAAATGGAACCAATAATGTCCGTGGTTGTTTGTTAAATGAAGGCCAAAGGACGCTGTATGATCATTGGTTTTTCCAGCTTAAATAAATTAATTGGGTGTCAACATGTACAACCGATATGTATTATTTATTTTGAAGAGGCAGAATTGTGCAAATGATGTTTTTATCCGTTTTGCTGAAAATAAACATTGAGTTCCTTAAATACTTTGTTCATTTATATATATTTTTGGTGATGCTTTTGTTCTTAAGGGTACCTGTGAAACCAGCGGCTATCAGTGGAAAAGTAAAAAGCCAAAAGATGCTCCATTAAAGATGTGGTTTGTCTAAATACTGTAAAATGTATTAAAATGTTTTTCTTAAAAGTCATAGTGTAGTATGTAATTAGAAATTGCACAACCAATGAATAAGATCTCAAAAGTCTCATAATTATTTGGGAAAGGTCAGAGTACAGTATATGTATATATATATATATATATATATATATATATATATATATATATATATATATATATATATATATATAATACAATTGTCATTTAAAAGTCACAGTATAGTTTGACTAAAATGGAATTATAAGATATTTAGAAAATACACGTCTGTAGGAAAATAGTTGTAAAAATGTTATGAGAAAAAGTGAGGTTGCAATATTTAGAAAAAAGTCCTTAATAAGTCATGGTATTGCATGCATAATAAAAAAATACTGTCAGTAGAAAAAATAGTTGTTAAATTGTTATAAAATCACATAGTATGACAAAGTCAAGACACAAATAATTAGGTAGTACGGCAAACAAAGTCACAGTATAGTATGTGAAAGAAAGTCATAGAAATAGCGTTGTATTTGAAAAATGAGTCATTAAAATGTCATGGCAGGAAAAGTGTCCTAAAAAGTTATAATTTAGTATTATAATAAAACTTTGACACAATCATTGTGTAAAATGTCTTGAAAGAGGAAAGTATAGTATATGAAATGAATGTCATAAAAAGTCACATTAAAGTAGAGTACGTCATAAATATTGCTAAAGAATTCATACACCACGTCAAAGAAGTGTCAGAGAAAATAGTCACAGTTTCTCAATCAGTATCTGCTACAATTTGGCCTCCAAAAAGGTACTGATTGAAACCACAATCAGTTCTCAAGTCGCACACATTTGAGAGTGCGAAGGGAACTGAGTTGATGACCCACAATAATCCTGATAGAAGTTAAATAGAAGCCTTCTTAACAGCCCTCAGAGGTTCAAAACAAGTGACAGTATAATTCATAGTGATGCAAGCGCTTGCAATGGACTTGTTATGCATCTTTGTTTGGTGAATACGTCGTCTCCTCACAGGTATTGACATAGTTTCCGAAGCTTTGAACCTGGCAAAAACAGAACACCAGGGATTTCTTACGAGTGAGTCGGGAGTAGCCAAGGTCACCGTGGTTACTCGCGGAAGGAAGATGTGTGGTTCCTCGTTACATATTCCCAACTGACTCAAACCACAAGCTTCCTCTCCTACGGATTAAAACGCTGAATTAATGGGCAATAAAATGCATCATTCCCCACCGCTTACGCTGTGTGGTGTGACCAGTAGACCAGTAGCTCATGGTCACTGATGTTTTCTTATACAAAATAGAGAATAAACAAAGTATACAAGTAAAAGCCTCTAACCCTTAATAAAGCCAAGAGGGGTTCAGCGTGATGCTGTTTTATTGTCCTTTCAGCCTCCTCTAATATGCTTAAACGCTGAACAATAGCTTAGCATTTAGCATCACGGCCCTCACAGCTGCACATTCTCACATTAAACGTTCCACAGTCTGCTGTTCACAAACTACCGTCGCCGATTGTAGTGATGTCACGGCGAGATGCAGCTGGTGGATCCCCGAGAGTTCATGAGGCTTCTTTTATCGCAGCGGATGGACTCGAACGCAGACACCTGATGTAATCTCTCCGCCTGATAGCGCCGGCGACGAGGTGATGATTTTGATTGAGCGGCTGTCAATCAAAATCAGCGGGAAGTGTCTTAAATAGCGGCTGCCTGGGGGTCCTCGCGAGCAATCAGGGCCCCCCCGCCCGCCCGCCCGGTATCAGCGGCTCCATCTGGACATCGGTTGATTACCCACTTTGGCCTCGGCTGCGGAGGCCCCGGGCGGCGACGCCCACTCCACCCGATTCTTATCATAAGCACGCATCATCAACAGATTGCCCCCACTAGGAGGGGCTGGGGGGGGGGGGCACTTTCTAATTCTGGAGTTTGGGTTTCTGTACAACTCAAGGTCTTGTCTTTCTGCGGGGGGGGGGGGCATATTAAAGCATGCGGTCGAATATACATTTCTGCGATCGCCCAGCGTGAAACCCAAAAGTCTGTTTCCACCTTCTCGTTATCACGTGGAAATGAAACGAAAACTAAAATAAGTAATGCGCGTTGGTGGCAGAGCAACGGAGCCACCCCCCCCCCCCCCCTCGGACCCCCGCTGGACGACTCATCACTGGTCCTTTGAAAGAGAGAGAAAGGGAAGATCAGAAGGCTTTGGCCGCCCCATGTTTTATTCTCCGCCCGTCTCAGCGGTGCTCATAGTTGGCCTTCAGCGAGAGGAACGTCAGCCCTGAGGTTTGTGTACTCGATGACACAGACGACACCAAACCGGACCTGGGCCATATGAATAATTCTCTTGGGGTGGGAATATAACAGCGACATGTTGCTCCTGAGGCGCGGAGGAGTGAGAGAAGCAGGTCAAAAGGGGCAAGAGGAAGGTAACGGGGTGTAAAAGCTGAGAACTTTGGGATAATGCCTGGAAAATAACTCCAAATGGATAAAAAGAGACATCACCAGAGTGATGAAGCAGCCCGGTGGAGGAAAACGTAGATATCAATTGTGAGATGAATATGAAAAGTAATTGTCAGGATGCACAAATCATTTAGCTCTCAAAAGCCATTTAGTTTGTCTCAGAAAGGTCAGAAACAACACGATGATTTCGGGAACTGAAGGTTTGTACAATGCAGAAAGAGAAAATGGTTCAGAGAGAAGAAGAACGTTTGTGGCCAAAAGAAAAAAGGTGAAAAAAGAAGCAGAGGCGAAGAACAATGAAGAGGAGGAGCTGAGGGTCGTTGGGTGCAGGATGTGCTGCGTGTGTGTGTGTGTGTGTGAGAGTGGACGAGGGCCTCGATTTGTGAAAAAGTTGTCCATAAATAACGGCTGGCTGGACCATTCAATCCACACTGTATTTGATCCTATTTCTACTCACTTTTTTACTTTGACTTGCTAGATGTGAGCTTTGAAAACTCACCCTGGAAGAAAAATCGCATTACATCATCCAATTTTCTTTGCCTTGGAGAGTTGAAAGAAAATCTTTTTGGAGCGATGTCTGGTACAAAATACAACAGGAGCGAGTGGACAGTTCGTTCACTGCAACAACAAAAAAAAAAAAAACCTCAATCACAGTTGTGTTTGTATTTTCTTAGAAGGTTGTTTTAATTCTCAGAGTCAAATTTAAACACACTTAATGATGAATTAAAGTAATTTGAAAATGACGCGGTGGAGCCCTCTCCAGTGATGACTGGCAAAAACATGTCAGGGCGACGTCGGCATTAATGAGCCGTAATCGACACCGGCCTAATTAGCGGCACTTTCCACTTTTACGTAGGTTTATCATCATTAGCCCAGCCCTGCCCTGATATAGCCCAGAGCGTGTGGGTGGCATAAGTGTTTGTTTATCATGTAGACAAGAAAAATAGTTACATGCTCCAATAGCCTCTGTGAAGTGGGGGGGGGGGGGGGTTGCGTCTGCCACTGCAGCTAATTACACCTTAAAAGACTCTGGGAAGAGATGTGGTGTAGGTGTTTTTTTGTTTGTCGCCCTCAAAAGAATTGTGCATTGAAATCGGGATGATTAATAAATCAACCGTTAATGGGACCATTACAGCTCATCCGCAGAGGTTTAACTGCGTTTCTGTGCATTTAAGTACCGTTATTGTGTTTAAATCGACCAGTCTGACGTCCTTGGGCTGCAACAAAAATGTCTCTGTGCCTCTGCTGATCTCGGGGTGTTTGACTGACACAAACGGTGAAAATATTCATCAATCATGTCTTCCGCGCTCCACAAATTTAAATATTTTTTACACGAAGCAACTAAACACACAGTCGACACCTTGCTTAATAATTCACAGGCTGTTTTCTATTGTCATCTGAAGGTGGAACCACGCCGGCTTTATTCTCCTAATAAAACCAAATGGCACAATGAGTGGACGGAATTATCCCGGTTGTTTTTAATTGAGTTTGAACCGCTCAGTGACGGTTTAATCCCCCCCCCTCCTCCCCACACCCACACCTCTCTCCCGGGGAGGCCGATAAACTTTGAAGCCGGCGCTGGGAACCTGCTCGCTGCACCTTCTGCATTATTCATGACGAGGGGACTAGAGCATCTTCACATGTCGTTTCCTTTCACCCTCCGTCACAATGACCGGATGCTGCACGCACCACAGGTGGAGGGGAGGGATGTGGGGGAGGGGGGGAAGCAATCTCCAGCTAAGCCAAGCCAAACAGATGCATTCACCGGTAAACCCACACTAGGGGCGAGTGTACAAGGGGGGGAGAAGCTCGGCCATCTCACAAATCCGCTGTGGCATATTTCAGTTTAGTTTACACCAGAATACAGCCACGATTCTGGAACCATGTAATCAAAGAGGTAATGACAATATTGTAAAACAAAAATGTAATTTTGAAACTGAAATCAATAGAATAACACCAACGCAGCTGTGATTGTATTCAATGTGATGTAACCAAGCGAAACGCATGCATGTAATACTGATATTGACTGAGAGG